AAAGAGTTTTGGTTTTATATTTAAACATAAACCATGTTATTTCTAATAAATGTGCAAATGTTTTCAAGATTTATTAAAAAGTGAAGCTTGAAAAAATTGATTTACAAAAGGAGTTGTCTTAGTGCAAATGAAGGCAAGAGCAAAAGTCTCACTGACTGCAAAAGAGCCAGACCTTTATTCCATGCGTCTTAGTTTGAAATGTTGTTGTGTAACCAAGCAAGTTTTGCTCTTAAGACTACTGAGATACAACCAGAATTCAGGTGGGTGCATTCATGGCCCTGTCTTGTTCATAGTTCATTTTATATAATGCACATTCACAAACACAAATGCTTGCACACATGGGTAATAAATACGTGTTTGTTCTAATATTTATGTAAACACACACAATATACCCACCAATATAATCCCATTACATAGTGTTCTTTTGCCCTATTGTTACTTTATATATAATCATACCTCTGGAGGTCCATTGAAAGAATAAGCATAGAGGATTGGCTGAATCATGATAAGTGACTGTGTTAGATCTTGACGCATAAAATGATGACGATAGTATGAACTCTCATCAGGACTGTTGTTAAAAACTTGCAGGAAAGGGGACCGCCTTAAGTGAAACATAAACTGCAAAACAAAAGTCCAAGAACTGATGAGCACAAAACAGACGGAAAAAATGTGTTTCAGAATAACCGGTACTAGCTAATGCCACCTCAGAAGCATACTACTCCAAACTGAATTTCAAATCTTTAACATTTCTAATTCCTCCACGTACCTCCTTTGAATGCTTCTTTTTAAACATAAAGGTCACTCTCAAAATAGATAAGCACACACAGCAGCTTCTAGCAAGCGTAAAGTTTAACCGCCAATATTTACACATAAAACAGCATGCTCTAATACTCTTAAAATATTTACTACACTATCACATTTGTAAATTAACTCTACAGTTTCTAGAAGTTTGCATACAATTTTAAATACACAAGCATGAGTTAACAGTAGCTTTACAATCAAAAGAAATACAGTTTTTAAGATCAGTAAATTTGGACCTTGTAGTGCAAATTTGAAAATTCAAATCCCCTTCATGTTAAACCAATCTTTCCACTACAATTTTTATGTTCAGACAAGCAATTTAAACTGAAGTTCCACTGAGGTCTATAAAAAGCCCAGACGCCACAGGGTTTATCAGGTGATCTGAAATAGATTACCAATAAATGCACAATTCCTTTAAGCTGCTTGCAGACATTAAAAAACAAAAAAAACCCAAAACAAACCACGCATTACTGGAAGAAGCAGTGTATTACTTCAGCCTGGCTCCACAGCATCTGTATAGATTGGGCACATGAGAGGGGCTTTGGGGCGTTTTTATCTAAAGCAGTGTCAATCAGCTCTTGGATAAAAGCACCATAAAGCCTCACTAAAGCACCCGATCTATACAGACATCAGAAGAGTCAGATCCAACTAACGTACTGCCTCTTCTGGGCATGTGCTGGACTCAGCACAGGAGTGCATGGAGTTTAAAGTAAAGCACCATTTTTTGTTGTTTAAACATCTGCAAGCAGTCTTAATTTCAATGACATTTACCTAACAAAACATCAATGAAGTCTTTTGTCTTATTAGTTTAATACTTTAAGTGGCAAATAAAAAATATTTTAGGTCCAAATTTTATAGGATTAAGTTCATTTTGACTATAAATTATCCTATTTTAATTTATTGTACACACTTTCCCCAAAACCGATTTATTATTATTTGTATTACATTAGTACCTTGATAGCATCAATGGACATGGTGACATGGAGAGTACAGGCTGCCATTTTAATAAGCCTTCCCAACGCAAAGCTATGGGTCTACAAGTCCTCAATGGTGGAGCAGGTGGAAAAAGATGCTAGAATATCAATGGTTGCAAAGGCAAATGAAGATCTCAAATGAGATCTCAAATCATCTTAACCTCCTTGCCACTGAACCAAGGTCCTGTTCTGTCAAGAACCATGTGGAAACTGATATGCAGCAGTTTCTCCACAATAAAAGAAATCATGTACAGGCATATTCCATGGAACATCTTTTCCAGCACATTCTTCAAGACCTTTCATGACCAGCTAGTGACAAGAGCAGAACTGAGAAGTCTGGAAGCTCCTAGTCATGACCCGGCATGCAGTTACAAGGTCATCTAGCACTTGGATGAGGTAATCAAGAGTGCAATTCGGCAACTGTACCTGCGACTGAGCAGTCCTCTTCCAGATTTTCTCTGCTCATGCCACATGGGGAGGAGGGGGCTAGAAAAGATGCCCTAAACATAGTCTGACTACCTTTTTCCTGCTTGGATTACTGTATCCAGTGGGATCACCTTTACTTGCAGTTGAAATCAATGAGGACACATTCAATTTGGGACCTGGAACATCAGGATTCTCATGGACAATCCTAATAGTGAATGCCCAGAGCACCACACTACAATCATGGCTCAAAAACTAGGCAATACAACACTGACATCGCTACACTGAGCGAGACCCAGAGAATGGAAGATGGGCAGCTCAAAGAACAAGGAGGCAGTTATATACTATTCTGGAAGGGCAAACACGAAGAAAAATACCAGCTTTATGGAGTTGGTTTTGCCATCAAGAATAAACTCAAACCAACTCAATGAATTCCCTATTGGAATTAATAAGCACCACATAACTCTGTCTTGGGCCAATATGCCACTGTCATCAGTGTGTATGCCCCAACTCTTGATGCCACCAACAAAAGCAAGGAGGAATTCTATATCAACCTTAAACAAGTCCTTTCTGGTGTTCCAGAAGGAAACAGACTCATTCTTCTCAGTGATTTCAATGCTAGAGTCAGAAGGGACTCAAAACTTCGGAACAGAACCATCAGTAAAGGGAGTGGAAAATGTCAACTCCAACAATATCCTCCTCTTGACCAAATGCACAGAACATGGACCCAACCCCACCAACATCCTGTTCTGCCAGAAAAACAGGCATAAGACATCATGGCAACATCCATAAGCTAAGCATTGGCACTTGATTGACTACTTTATTGTTCATGCCCAGGATAGCAAAGATGTCCACATCATCCGAGTTACATTAGTAGCTGATGATTGCTGAACAGATCACAGATTCATCTGCTTGGTTATGTCATTCAAACTGGCTCCTACATGATGGCTGCAGCAGAAGCAGTGCTGATGGAAGATCAATGTCGAAGGACTCAAGGACCCAATCAAGCAAGATTTCTTCCACCAGTTTTCTCAATGGAAAACTGGCAAATTCCAATCAACAACAATGAGAGAATGTCAGCAGCACTTGGGGTACCTTTAAGTCCAGCAGCAGCAGCACCTGCAAAGAGAAATTTGGATTCTCTACCAGGAAACAGCAAGACTGGCTTGATGAGAATGACCGGGAAATCCAAGAGTATGCCAACTGCAAGCACAAGGCCTTTTGTGCTTGGCAGAACAACATGGGCAAAGGAGATTCAACATCTCACTGGCGTCCATGATATGCATGTTTTTTTCAGCAACACCAAAGCCATTTATGGTCTGAGCACTCAGGGACCAACCTCTTGAGACCTAAGGATAGAGGACACCTGATCAAGGAATGAGGAACCACCAGCACCCATTGGAAGGAGCATTTTGAAGAGCTTATCAATTGCGATTCTGTTGCTGATGAAAGTGTTCTCAACTCCATCCCACAACACCCAGTCAGAGATGATCTTGGAATCCCTCCAAACCTTGACAAGGTGAGGAAAGCCATCAAGGAGATGAAGAACAGCAAGGCTGATGGAATCCCTGCTGAAATCTTCAAGCAGGAAGGAGAAGAAATCGCAACACAGTTTCACACCCTCATCTTAAGGATCTGGAATGATGAGGAAATGCCAAACAACCTCAGGGACACCATGATTATGACTATCTTCAAGAAAGGAGGCAAGTCTGAGGTGTGGAAAATACAAAGGGATCACCTTACTGTGTCCACCACAAGAAAGATAATTGCAAGAACCTTCCTGAACCTCCTCCTTCCACTTGCTGAAGAGCTCCTCCCAAAATCTCAGTCTGTGCTTAGGGCATCAAGAGTCAAAACAAGCACGATAGTCACTGCTCGCCAGATATTGGAAAAATGTTGGGAACAACATAAACCTCTGTACCTGGCCGCCTTTGAGCTCACAAAAGCCTTCGACTGTCAACTGAGAAGGGCTGTGGAGGATCCTTCTGAAGTACAGATGCCCACTGAAATTTGTCACCATTCTTTGCCTGCTCCATAATGGTATGAGAGTGGTAGTTCTCAACAACTGATTTATCACAGATTCCTTTGAGATTAAGATAGGAGTTGAGCAAGGCTGCATCATAGCTCCAACACTCTTCTCAATATTCCATATCGCATGCTACATTTGACCACCAACAAGCTTCCAGTCAGAATGAAGCTAAACTACCAACTGAATAGTAAACTGTTTAATCTCAGCTGACTCCAAGCCAAAACCAAGCCCACCCCGACCTCAATCATTGAGCACCAGTATCCTGATGCTGTAGTGTGTGCTCACTTGGAAGCAGACCTTCAGGCTTTACCAACGTCTTTACCGAGACATACAAGAATATGGGACTGATGCTTAACATTCAGAAGACAAAGGTCTTCTATTAACAAGCTCTTAATGAGCAGTTCCAAGCTCCAGTAATTCAGATTCCCAGTAAGACTCTGGAGAACGTTGAATATTTCCTGTACCTCAGAAGACATCTCTTGCAGAAGACTGACATCGATGAAGAAATCCAACAGCCTTCAAAAGTATAAGTGCAGCCTTTGGATGCCTGAGGAAACAGGTGTTCGAAGATCCCAACATCATATTCAAAACCAAACTCATGGTTTATCAAGCAGTCATGATCCCCACCTGACTGTACAGAACTGAGATGTACACAACACACAGGAGACATTGAAGTCACTGGAGAAGTACCATCAACACTGTCTATGGAAGATCTTTCAAATCCAGTGGGAAGAGAGATGCACCAATGTTAGTATCCTCCTGCAAGCAAACACCAAGAGCACTGAGAAATGAGCATCCGCCATCAACCTGCTGGGCCAGCCACATCATCCAGATGTCTAACTCCAGATTCACAAAGCAAGACTGAGATGGGAGAATAAAACAAGGCATACACTCAACAGGAGGGCAAAGAAAGCGTTTCAAGGACAACCTCAAGGCCAACTTGAAAAAATGCAACATTGACATCAACTCATGCGAGACTATTGCCCAGGATTGCCCTAAATGAAGGAAGAGTCTGCTGCAAGGATCTCAGTACTTTGAAACCTTACAATGACAAAAGGAGCTGAAAAAGCAGAAACAGGAGAAACAGCATGTTGTGGAAAGAATCAAGAACCCAGAGCCACCCACCTTGCATGGAAACATGTTGCAGAGCTGCAACAGAGTCTGTGGCAAAAAGAAGGTACCGGGTAATGTGGGGCCTCTACTAGACACGCTAGGAAATCTGGTTGTCGCACCAGACAACAAGGCTAACGATTTAAATAGGCTAACCTATTTAACGATTTCTTTGCCTCCATTTTCCTGAGCAGGGACCAGATCAGCCCGTCCACCGGGACCCCCTCAGGCCCCGGGGGAGGCACACCCAGACCTAGGGTCAGTGAGGATCTAGTCAGGGAACTTCTGGAGGGACTGGACGTATTTAAATCAGCTGGTCCTAACGACCTCCAACCCAGAGTGCTGAGGGAATTAGCAGAGGTCATTGCAGGACCCATGGCACGGCTTTACGAGCACTCGTGGTGCTCTGGTGTGGTGCCAGAGGACTGGAAAAGGGCCAATGTGGTTCCCATTTTCAAAAAAGGGAGGAAGGAGGACCCAGGAAACTATAGGCCAGTTAATCTTACCTCGATCCTGGGTAAGCTTTTTGAGAGAATTATCCTGGCGCATGTCCATGAGGGGCCAGCGGGTGGGGGGGGGGTTATGCTTAGGGGCAACCAACATGGGTTCATTAGAGGCAGGTCCGGTCAGACCAACCTGGTGGCCTTCTATGACCAGGTCACAAAAGCCTTAGACGAAGGGGTAGCAGTGGACGTAGTCTTTCTGGACTTCAGGAAGGCATTCAACACTGTCTCTCACCCCATTCTCATTAAAAAACTAGGG